TTTCGCGAACAAAAATTTTGGTCGCCAATTATTACATTCGGCGACCAATTTTTTGGCTCGCCAATTATCAATTTCGCGACCAAAAAAATTGTCGCCATTTGCATGTCTTTTCGCGACCAAACTTTTGGTCGGCCAAAAGTGGATTCCACGACCAAGAGCTGTTTTGTCGGCAATACATGTATTTTTGCGCGACCAAAACTCTTGGTCGGCCCAATTTGTCATTTTTTGCGAAAAAAAATTTATTTTGGCATGTCCGCAAACTAATAACAATTAGTCACCAAAGCAGGAAAACAATACACCTGTAATTCCTAATCAATTCATTCAATCCATAATAAACTATAATTTTAAAGCATCATTCAAATTTAAACTGAATCATTAACATTCGACACATACGTAAGGGCCCACCTTGAGCCCTTAGTTTACTAGTGAAAATTAAAAGATTTTGTTTTCAAATATTTCTCATCTATAAACAACTTCAGGATATTACTTTGTTGAACAGTTGTGTCATAATGGAAGCCTGAATCCATCCGCGTTACAGCAGTTCCATTTGGGTTCATCAGCACGGAGCTGCGAAAAGACATTCTATCTCAATGGGCAGAGTTAGCTGCTAGCGATCTCTCATCAGGATTCTCGCGCTGATTCTGTTCTCATCAATCAAGTAAGTGGAGTAGTTCATACTTGTCAAATCATATCAAGTCTGGACGAGATTCTTATATGTTAAATTAAATTACATAAAAATCTTACTTTTTGAGTTGCAGTTGCCAAAATCAAGAGAAAGTATCTCACCTCCCAAAGCTTTTCTCTCTGATACATTAATGAATTTTTTGCAGCATTTCTCATTCAATACTTGCATTTGCTATTAGCTCCTGCAGTGCTTGCTGATCTGTAAGGCAAATGAACCTCACTAGCAATATGTTATCAACAATCATGTGACAATTGGCGACTAAGAAATTTGGTCGGGAAAATATCACTTTTCGCGACCAAAGTGTTTTGGCGACAAAATAAATTAGTCGCGGTAATTAAATATTTAGCGACCAAAAATTTAGTCGGCAAAATCCAACTTTTGCCGACCAACCACAATTTTGGTCTTGAATTACTTTTGCCGACCTTCAATTGGCGACCAAAGTAGCGACCAAAAAAATTAGTCGCGGATAACTTTTGCCGACCAAAAATAGACTTTTAGCGACCAATTTTTTTGTTGCCAAAAGTGTTAATTCTTGTAGTGTGTAGTCAACTTTGTATTGTTCTCTGGCTTCCCATATCTTCTCCATCGCTTTATGTAATCTAGACTTCTACAGGGACCATAGTTTAAATGTTGAAATAACTTCTTCACATTCTAGACCTTTGCCATTATCACAATGGTGACCACTGAAAAGATGAAAGATGTTCTTCCTTTCTTCTAACACTTCCCCACTTCCTCTTTCTCCTCTTTCTCCTCTTCCTCTTTTCCCTAAATTAGTTAATAAAAGATATCACCATCAGACAAGGGGCATTCAACTGATTACTTAAATCCCACCAAGCACATGTTGAAGCAAACAAAGTACTTCCCACTTAGCATGAATTTACAAGAGAATTCTAGGAAAATTTGTTGAAGTTCTTCTGACATTGGGCTTTATTTTCTTTTTCTTTTTTCTTTTTTTTTCTCTTAATTCTCATTACCCAGGCCTTCTAGGCTTTCACTTTTGCATCTTCCTAAAATTGCAATTGACTACATTTACCTTCATAATAATATGATAAAAGAAAAGCTATAAATTGTGACAAAACTTGTACACATTATTTTCTGCTTGTCGTCAATTTGTTTGAATTTAAATGGAGATCATACCATGTACTTGGGTCTTAATACTATCATACCAAGTAGTTAGGATGTCAACACTTAGTTTAGCCTGGAGTGACGCAAGGAGGCCCCATTTTTTGATAAGTAAAAAATTATACTGAAAAAAAGCACCAAGGAGGAGCAACCCATTTACAAAAGTAAGTAGAAGACAGTAGTAATACACCAATAACATATTCGAAGGTCACTGCAAAATCTAAAAATTGGTCCAAGGATGGATCAACCTTCCCTGAAAACTGACTATACAAAACAGACCAAAAAAAAAAATTTACTCTTTAACCTCAAAATTGGTTCTTTTATTCCATCAAAACTACTTTTATTTTGTTTTTCCCAAAATATCCACATAATCGCCAAAGGGGCCAAATACCAGGCCCTTCTCCCCCACATGAGCACCTCTCCAAGAATAAAAAGCTTCCCCCACCACCATAGGAAACGTCCAGTCCACTCCAAACATGAAATTAATCAAGGATTGAAACTCGCACACTACCACACAGTGGATAAAAAGATGGCTCACATCACATTCTCCTCAGTGCTTGCATATGCAACACCATTTACCATGCA